AAAAAAAAAAAAACCCAGGCTGCGTTAGAAAACTTATACATTTCATTCCAAGTCTTGTTACGTAATATAAAGCAAGCTTTAGACCTGCACCTTGTAATTAAAACGAGACATTTTGTTGAAGCTTAATGATCACTTTAACAAGCTCTGACATATTCTCTTTGAAAAGTCCCTTAGGCATTTCATGATTTTATAAACTAGCCGTTTGTTAATGACCACAGGATTTCAAAACTAATAACACTAGCCATCTGAGCAGCACAGAAACATGCCGGAAGCTTAGGCTTCTTCCCAAGTCAAATGTTTACATTGTGATATGTAAAAAGACAGATCAGTAAACATTTCATAGACAGGAGACCATTCCTATCAAAACATCTAACAAATAAATGAAGATATTCCACTTAATTGTAAATAAAATATTACACTTAAGTAACTACAGTGTGGCTCTGCACAATTTTGATCCCAGCTCTTGGGAGGCAGAACCTGGTGGATCTCTGAGCTCAAAGCTGGCCTGGTCTACAGAGTGAGATCTTAAATACATTAAAATTTTTTCTTACCTTTTTGTTGATCTCTAGAATCCCTACAAGTGAAAAGGGCAGAACCCGGAACACTGCAAGGTATAACAAAACAGACTGCTGAGTGCCTGCCTAAAAGAAAAGAATAAAATTATAGGTAGCTCACCAAAGTACTTCAGAAAACAATTATCTTCATAAGTTCAAAATATCCATCTGTCCTTGTATAGTTTCAAAGACAAAAGTTTTCATGAATTGAGAATATCCATCTATTTAGATAATAAACCAAACATACTTAAAAATGTTCACTAGTTCTCCAGCTCCTCACACATGCAAATTCTTAAACATAAAACTCTACAAAAGGAAACATAAGCATTTCTTACCATCAGAATACAGTGCATTTGCACTGCAAACTGGAGTTCTAACAATGAGCCTAACCAAAAGCATGATGTGGCCATGGTCCTGTCATTCAAAGTACTTGTATTGGTTGGTATGACTCTACTAAAGACAGATATTACATCAATAAAAGTTTGAATGATTTATCAACTTGGAGAAGAGAGTTCCTTTATCTTGAAAAACAAGCTCCTGGGGCTGGAGAGATGGCTCAATTGTTAAGAGCCAGGTTCAATTCCCAGCACCGACATGGTAGCTTACAACTACCTGTAATTCTAGTTCCGGGGGATCCGACAGGGTTTCTCTGTAGCTTTGGAGCCTGTCCTGGAAGACCACCTTGTAGACCAGGGTGGCCTTGAACTCTTAAAGATCTGCCAGACTCTGCCTCCTGAGTGCTGGGATTAAAGGTGCGTGCCACCACCGCCCTGCCTGACACCCTCTTCTGACCTTCTTGGACATTGCTCACTTGTAGTACACAAACATGCATGTAGGCAAAACACCCATTCCATACATATAAAAAAAATAATTTAAAAGAAAAGATAGGCTTCCAACAATTATTTCCATTATGAAATGCAAAATAATCTATTTACTTATCTAGTTAAGAATTCAAGGGAGTATCTTCAGTTTGGGGGCAGCACAGCTGTCAGTCCCCCCGCCCTCTCCCCCCCAGAAAATTCTGCTTGAGCAGAAATAAGGTTTGAGCACCAAGACTATTAAGCAAAACCACAGGAAATAAAAAGGCACAAATAAATACAAAATCAGAGTGTGGTGTTTAAAGCTCCAGAGACCTTCCCTTTAAAGAAACATACTTTTACTAAGCTAAGATCTGTGCTCCTCAAACCTAAAGCCAGGTTTTATATATATATATACATACATACCATGGGCATATGTGCAGAGTTAGACTGAAACCTTGGTTCTTACAGAGGGACATTAGACCTGGAACTTCTAGAATTCTCATGAAATGTTGCGTTCCTTTGTTCCAGTATTTAACTTTTATGAACTTTCCTTTACCAAAGCAGAGAGCTACACAGTGCATGTGAACAGCAGCAAGAGACAGCAACCCTTTCTCAGGCTGGCCACCTCAATAACATGAGGAAAAGGCCAAGGAGACCCCGATATGAGGTATGTCGTTGTGCTATTAATATGACTGAGCAAGATATAGGAAGTATTTATAAGTAGCCATCATTAGAGGAAGTTTAGGTCTGGTAAAACGGTCCAGTGGTGAGGTGTTTGATCCCTGGAACCCAGAGGGTGGACGAGGAGAACTGACTCCTGTCCTCCACTACATACGCACTGGGACATGTGCTCCAAAACCCACACACGGAAACAAATTAGTGCCATTTAAATGTTTTGAGATGAAGTTTAAAAAGCTAGTCAACAGCTTATCTGGTTCAGTGGCATACACCGAGCCAGAGGAGGCAGGCAGGCAGGGAGGGAAAGTAGATGAGGAGAGGTGCTGGAGTTGAGGGAATGCCTGGTGGGGTTATCTAATAAGGGACAAGCACAGGAACTACTTGATTCATTAGAAGTCCTAAAGCAGGTTCGGTGGCACACAAGTGATCCCAGTGTTTGGCAGGCTGATGCAGGAGGATCTCAGTAAGACAGACTGGGCTGCACAGCCAGACTCTCTCAAAAACAAAACCCTGGGGCTGGAGAGATGGCTCAATGGTTAAGAGCACTGACTGCTCTTCCAGAGGTCCTGAGTTCAATTCCCAGCAACCACATGGTGGCTCACAACCATCTGTAATGAGATCTGGTGCCCTCCTCTGGCGTGTGGGCATACATGGAGGCAGAATGTTGTATACATAATAAATAAATCTTAAAAAAACAAACAAACCAAACCCACCACACACAAAAAGGTACCCTAGAATTCTAAGTAAGTTACCTGGCAGTCAGTGCTACAGGAGTTTCTAGAAGGCTATGTTTCATAGAGAGTACAAGGAGGAATTTGAATACAGAGCTTGCCAAAGCAAACAGAAAATAACAGCTTCTTATTACAGTTTTTTTTAATATATATCCTGTCCTGAGATAAAAACAGAAAACCTCTATGAGAAAAAAAATCTCTATTTTATAAAAAATGCTCAATATATATTTTGTAAGTATTTCCTCATCACTTACAACAGAAATAAGTTTCCTGATATGTCTAGGCTTTATAAAGTCTAGTAAATTCTGGGTGATACCTTTTGGGGGGAGGAGGCAGGAAAGAGGGTCCCACCATGTAGCCCTGGCTGACCTGGAATCAGGGATCCTTTGCTGAGATTGAGGGTCTGCACCACCCTGCCTGACCCGTGCTGAGTGATTCCTCGAGAGAACCATTGAGGGAGTAGCTTAGCACTAGAGCACTTGACCAGCGTGCACGAGGCCCTAGGTTCACTTCCCAGGGCCCCAAAAGAAACAAACAAAAATAAAACAGAAAAACACCCATTTGAACAGTCTGCTTTAGGAGAAAAGTTATCTACAAATTTAAACAGCACTCTTCAGTCACCAAAGGTCAAGAGCTTTAACCAGTGTGCTTTGCGTGGTGGTGCTGCGGACCTGCCGGGCCACTGCTGAGCCTTTGTTCTGAGCTGACTTGACCGCAATGACCTCTTGAGGGGTGTCCCAGCTCAAGTACCTTTGGAAAAAACAAAGAGCAATTGAGTGGTTTGGATCAGTCCCCTTATATTTAAAATTAAATCATTAAACTTACTTACCTACGTATTTTTGGTTTTCAGAGATAAAATCTAGCCTAGAACTCTTGGATTATACTAGAATGGAGGGAGGACCTACCTCTAAATACTGTGCATAGGATAATTACTTAGTAGGAATACAAAGATAAATACTGTAGGTCACCAGCCTCAGATCTTCAAACAGAGCAGAGAGAAGGAACAAAGAGAGTTGTTCTTAAACAGGGATCATAGAATACACTGGAAAGACTGGGACAGAGGGCAGGACTGAAGAGGTACTTAAGATTTCCAGGGCCATAAGTCTCAAAAAAAAAACTTTAAATAACAACCTCACAGTTGATACCTGAACTTGCAATAGGAAGCAAGGTATATCTTCTCCAGGATTTCCCCTGTAGTCGCCGATATACGAAGCAGCCAATTATGAGCAGTCAGTGCTATGAGTGAGGATTTATAATCTGACGGGTCAGGAAGTATTTCTCCCTAAAAAAAAAAAAAGGCATAAAAACAAACTGCTTAGCTAGGAACAACATACAGTACTCTGTACACAAAGAAAATGGCTAGTTACCTCATCAATAAGTAAGCTAGAAAATTACTAACTGCACAAATGAAGAAGGCAAGGAAGGCAAGACTGTGGGTTGCTACTTTAACCGTTACTTATCTTTTTACTACTTTAAAATGTATCATCATTATTGTGTACATATAGGTGCACCAGCCACAGTGCACATGTGGAGGTCAGAGACAACCAGGGGGGCTCAGTTTTCTCCTTCCTCTTGTTAGTTTGAGACAGGGTTTCACCAAGTAGGCTTGGCTGGTTGTAACTCACTCTGTCTACCCGCTCTGCCTCCTGAGAGCCAGCAAGCTCAGCTCTCCTGCCTTCACGTGGGTTCTGGGATCAAACTCAGGCTGTCAGGCTTGCATCACTGGGAAGCAAGTACCTTTACCACTGGACCATCCCACTAGTCTTAAGAACTTATCAACTGAGTTTATCCATTTACACACACAAAGGAACATACAGCATGTGGGCAGCGTCTGGAAGAGCTCCCTCAGCATCACTCCCAAGCAGAGCAGTCTCCAGATGTAGCCAACAAGAACAGGAACATCTGCGATGGTGCTGCTGTGGTAACAACTACTGGAGCTCCTAGTCTACTCATTAGGAGCCACTGTTTGGACAAGGCACAGCTCTGACGCAGGCAGGACGGGGCAGATGTGTTGATTTTTGGTTAGCAAAGTTATAAGTCGAGAAGATGAAATTAATGTGGCATTTGCTCCAGTAAAACATGAACGGGAAAGAAGAGACTAAGGCCTCTGCCCAAGCTACTAGAGCCATCTTCCCCTCAAATTCCAGAGAAATAATCGTTTGCTTTTAGTTTGCTTGGTTTTGTTTGTTTATTTTTGTTATTTCCTAGGCAGATCCCGTGTAGTGCTGACTAACGATGACCCGGTTCTCCTGCAGCCACACCGATGCTGTGATTTTTAAATGTATTAACTAATTATACGTAATTTGTAGGAACAACATGAATGCTTTTATACTATAATGTCTTTATGTATCATCTCATGGAGACCTTAAAGTTTTCAAATGTCTACTACCCCTACTTAGTCCACTACTTAGTTCCACTTGGAACAAGTACACATGGATTCAAACTATTTCTTAAACCAAAAGTGACATTTCATACATATCTCAGAAACAAAACAAAACAGAGTACTAATTTCAAAGTAGTTTTGTTTCCATATATTAACAATACAGTGTTCCTCTGAGTTCCTCACAGACAATCTTGCGTCACCACAAATAAAAACAAAATCATTTAAATGTTTACGAAATGAGAATAAGAATTGGGTTAACTTTATTTTTCCAGGACTGCTCTATATTTTGCGTGTTTGAATTGGTATATTCAAACTTTCTCAATTAAGAAACCTATCATCTCTCTAATCCCCCTCAAAAAAATAGATTAAAAGGCTTTCAATTGTTTAAGGCACAATTATTCACAGCTTTCAATTAAAGAGGAAAAAAACAGGCTTCAAACTTTCTAATTTTTAAAAAGGAGACCTCTATGAAAGGAGTAATTATAGGGGAATGACAGTTTAAAAAAATTACAGCTTTATGGAAAAACAACAGCCTGGAAAAAATTTAACATTCAATTCAGGGTATTTCTGCCCATGGCTCAGATAGTACTCCCGGGCACAGCCTGGGAGTTCTCTTAAAAAGCAACCAACCACACTCACAGACAGGATTAATTCGCTGCAGTGTGTCCCAAGAGGACTTCCTAGAAATGATGCCATGGAAAACTTACAAAGGGAAGAACTGTCCCTCAAAAGAGGGCTGTGATTAAAGACTCTGGCAAGACGGTCTGACAATTATTGTGTATGGAAGCATTATTAGAAGCAGTATTAAAAGCTGAGGAAGAATTTTACAAATATCTTGGTTTAATCTTTGGAACTTTCGATGTGCCATGTTTATTTTTTCCCCAGGCTAACTCCTCCTAGCTCCCCTGGTGCCTGCTTACTCACGTCCCATGGAAGTGTCCTGGAAGGAGCACACGCAGGGCAGTGCTGGCCTAATGGAGTAACCACTGTAGTTTTAATTTTCATCCCATTATTTTCCTAACTACATTCACAGATGGAATTTATGAGAGTTTACTTTCAAAGATCTACGAAGTAGCTGCTCACAAGAATGACTGCAAACTGCTTTACATTATTATAAAACTTTTAATCAGTTTTTAGCTTTTTAAGATTTATAAATTATCTCTAATTTACAATTTTTCATAATAAACTGAACATGGTGGTGCATACCTATAATCCCAACACTCAGGGATGGGTAGAGTTCAAGGTTCAAGCTCATCCTCAGCATCATATCAAGTCTTTAGTGAGCCTGGGCTCATACATGAGCCTGCTCAAAATAAATAAATGAATTCCAAATACTGCTTTAAAAAAAAGTATTACATTTGTGAGTGAGTATGTGTGTGCATGCATGTGTGTGCACGCATGGCTCTGTGTGTGCATGCATGTGTGTGCACTGGAGGACACCAGCAGACACGTTTTAGAACTTAGTTTATCTCTTTCCCTAAGTAGGTCCTCGTGACTAAACTCAGATCATCAGGCTTGGCAGTAAGCAACATCACCTGCTAAGCTATCTTTCTGGCCTGTAAAAAAGAATTTTAAAGTAACTTTGTAATGGTACTGAAAAGACACATTCTCTTCTTGGTTATTCTAAAGATTTGGGAGTCACATGATCTTTAAGTTTTATCCTTTAAAAAACACACTAACAATGACTAGTTCTTCTAAACAAAAATGCTTTACAGAACATCATGGAGGAGGGGCAGAAATGTTGCAAAGCAGCCAGGTGGCAGTGGTGCAGCCTTTAATCCCAGCACCTGAGAGGCAGAGGCACACAGATCTCTGAGTTTGAGGCCAGCCTGGTCTACAGAGCTAGTTCCAGGAAACAGAGAAATCCTATCAAAAAGAAAAAAAGAAAGAGACATTGCAAAGCCAGATGACCAGCACATCTGCTATGAGGCTGTGTTTTCTACATGACAGGAAGCTGCACCCATGAAATCTCACACTACTGCCTGTACAACACCACCAGCCAGATGGGGAAATCTCACAAGGCCCCGCCCCTAAATGAAGAGCTACAGGCAGTTAACGGCTGCTGAGAAAGGGAGAGTCGGTCCTTCTCAGAGACTTGCCTCCTGACAGCTTATCCAATCTGAGGGGTCAGTCCTGAACACATATGCATCCGAGCAGCAGTAGATGGACCCAGCAGGTTGTGTGTGTGTGTGTGTGTGTGTGTGTGTGTATACACAATAATTAAGAAGAAGTCATGAACTTGAGAGGGAGTGTATGTAAGGGAACATGGAAGGAATTGAAGTGGGGAGAGTAGGGTAGAAATGATATAAATACAGTACTTGTATAGGACTTTTAAACAATGAAATAAACATAAAAATAAAAACATTTAAGAGTTGGGGGAGCTTAAAAAAAAAAAACAACGCTCTAGAAAGAAATCTCACCACTGGGCATTCCCATAACAAAGCATCCTCAATTTTTTCTGATTTGGAACATTTTGGCATTTCATAAAGTTTTCTTGGCTCTGATGCAACACTGGGAAAAAAGAAAATAAACATTATTATTAGTTTAAAACTGAGGCAGTCTTTTACATGTCTGTAGTCCCAAATTACAAATTGCTATTGTTTCTCCTAATTCTTTGTTTTTTTTATGCTCACAAATTTATAACATACAAGATTAATATAGTTTATAATAGGGTCTGGAGAGATGGCATGTTTGGTTCCCAGCACCCACATTAGGCAGCTCACAACTGTTATTCCAGCTAAAGGGGATCAATGCATCTGATCTCTGCAGGTACCTTCCTTCCCCCCTACTCCTACCCCTCTCTCTCACACACACACACATTTTTTGGTTCATCTTCTAGATGTTCCTCATGTAAATGGAGCTATATGGACATCATTTTACAAAATAGCATTGTATTGAATTCTTTTATCCTTAAACATTTACTGTAAGACTGTTGAATCCATTAAGTTCATTCTATTGCTCTGATATGTAAAAGTGATTGTGTATAGATTAAAAGGTTCCCATTAGGGCATTGGCTAGTTTTATGTCAACTTCACACAAGCTAAAATCATCAGAGAGGAGGGCATCTCAATTCATAAAATGTCAGAAAGATCAGGCTTTAGGTAAGTCTGTAGGGTATTTCCTTAATTAGTGACTGATGCGAGGGAGGCCCTGCCCACTGTTGGTGGAGCCTACCCTGTGCTGCAAGACCTGGGTTCTATAACAAAGCAGGCTGAGCAAGTCAGAGGAAGCAAGCCAGGAAGCAGCACTCCTCCATGGCCTCTGCATCAGCTCCAGCCCCCAGGTTCCTGTCCTGACTTTCTTCATGGATGAATAGTGATGTGGAAGTAGAAGCCAGATAAACCCTTTCCTCCCCAAGTTTCTTTGATCATGCTGTTTCATTACAGCAATAGAAACTCTAAGACACATTAATTTGAATGAACATTTGTGGATACAAAAGGAAACACTCTTTATGTATATTTTATTGTTTTAGAAATATTAAATATGTGTCTCTTCCCACTATCACTGTACATTCTATCTTCCAGCAAATTCAAGACTAGGCTATGGTATGGTTTAAGGTGCTTGTCTGGTTTCAGGCTCTGTCCTAAGAACTGCATTCACTCTCCTCTGTACTGAAAAAGTGAACACTGTATCCTTGGTGCTTACTTTTGAAACAGTCTTGCTACTATGCCCAGGCAAGCAATCCTCCTGGTCCCAGCTTCCCCAGGCTGAGGCTACAAGCCTGCCACCTCCCCCAGCTAATCTCGACTTCTCTGGCAACTACTGAGATGTGGTCATAGATGTTTTCTTTTAGCTGATGAACTTTAAAGTTTGACTATTATTCAAGAGAAACATTCTTAGGATGACACTTTATTCACCTTTGATAGTAACTCAAAGGTTTAAACGAAACAGAATATCACAGGAGCGAAAGCAATCTCATGTGATCCTACCTGTGGGTGTAACACTCCTCAATAGCACCGTGAACTCTGTATCTTTTATCCCTAGGACACTAATCAACAGCATTTACTTTGCTTGAACTTTTAAAAATCAGAACAACTATCTCTGCCTTGGAAAGTGACGAGCTGGTATTAATCCTAGTTAACACTGCAAGGTGTGGTGAGGAGCACCATGAACATATGAGACAAAGCCCAGCTTTCCAATGCTACAACCAGAGCCTTCGAAAAAACACTTTTCAGAAAGAAGTGATGAAAATGATGAAAGGGCAACCACTCAAAGCCTTTGGTTGTCCTTATAAAAGCACACGGAGAAGCATTTATTCAAAAAAACCATCTGAACTCAGGAAGGATAATGGGAGCCCAGTGTCTGCACCAGGCACTTTCCCTCCCTTCCTTCCTTCTTCCAGCTCAGGAAGAAGGTATCACAGCTCTAAACTTCCAGCCAAGACTTCTAGGATCCCTCCTGGCTGCTGCTTTGACTCAGAAGTACTCTCCCCAGAACAGGCAGAGTGACACCATTCTCATCCAGCCCCAGTCATGTGTTGTTCAGGCTGAGTCCTATATTAGTGTAGTTCAAAGTTAGGAGTCCTTTCTGCGTGGGCCCCACGAGGGCTCTACTTGGGTATACTACAGTGTAGAAGAACAGGACCCTGACGTCACTTCTCTTTCTTTGTAAAATCCAGACTGGCCTTCACTTTCTTTCCTAAGATGAGTATTCTGCGTGCCTGATCTGCTCAGCTTCCTCCACTAAAGAAGTCACCCCACTAACTCCTGTGACTGGCTCCACAGAGTTGGCCTGGAGACTTGAAGACTCCCTGGGCAGAGAAGCAGTTCCAGACAGATAGCCCACCGTTCTTCCCAATAAAACTGACTTCATTTGAAACAGATGTGAAGGAGTTCAAGTATATGCGCACTCTAGAAACCGTGGGAAGCCACGTCCAAGGGCAAATGGGGGGTCATGGGTAGATTCACTAGCATTAAGGGTTAAATTGTAGGTCGGCCGATTTACCAAAGAACCAAAAAGGATAACTACTAGAAGAGTGGTTCTTAATTTGTGGGTTACAACCCCTTTGGGGTCATATAACAGATGTCTTAAATATCAGATATTTGTATACAATTCATAACAATAGCAAAATTATGGCTATGAAGTCACAACAAAATAATTTTATGGTTGGGGAGTCACCACAACATTAAGGGTCCCAACATTTGGAAGGTTGCGGACCACTGTACAAGAGTCAAGGCAAATCCCAGAAATCGCTAGGCTCTCTGACTGCTAGTTCCTAATCCGGTAATAGAATTTACACCAGGCAGTGGTGGCACACACATTTAATCCTAACACTCAGGAAGCAAAGACTGGCGGGATCTCTTTCAGTTCAAGGCCAGCCTGGTCTACAGAGCAAGTTCCAGGACAGGCTCCAAAGCTACAGAGAAGCCTTGCCTCTAAAAACAAAAAAGAACTTAGATGTTATCACCTCTGAGAAAGCTCAGTTGGTAAAACGTTTGCCAGGCAAGCAAGAAGATCTGTGTTTAGATCCCACCTCTCATGGTTTCTGGCACTTGTAATCCCAGAGTCGGGGAGGGGGAGACGGGCAAATTCACAGGACTACATCATCTACTGGAAACCTAGCTGCCTGGTCCACTGAACTAAGACCCTGTCTCAACAAAAAGTTGGACGTCTCCTGAGGAGTGGTTCTGGAGGTTGACCAACTGCCTCAGTACACACACAAAGGAAAAGCCCATAATCTTTATAGAGATGGGAGGTGAAGAATGTGTGTCTAGAATGTACTTTAAAGTATTTATCATTATGGGCGGTGGTGATGTACCCCGTTAATCCCAGCACTTGGGAGGCAGAGGGTAGAGGGATCTCTGAGCTAGAGGTCATCCTGTTCTACAAGGTGAGTTCCAGGGCAGTCAGGGCTACATAGAGAAGCTCTGTGTAATGAGAGAGAGAGAGAGAGAGAGAGAGAGAGAGAGAGAGAGNAGAGAGAGAGAGAGAGAGAGAGAGAGCGAGCGAGCGCAAATTGGTAGTATTCTCTGTAGCCTGACCATGGCTGGTTGTGGATGAGGCTAATAAAAACTATGCATCTATAAATACTATGCTTTTGTTTGAATATTTTCTCTTGGAAAAAAAAAAGTAAGCACTTCTAAAACAAAATATAATACCCATCTACCAAGCAGCATCTAATTATTTCAGAACCTGTTTGCTGGACTCTGATCTCTTAAATGTTATAAAGCTGCATACAGTGCTGAGTAACACAGTATTTTGCCTGTGCTATAATTTTATATGAAATAAGTATTTACAAAGTTGAAACCTGCAACTTTAGATTTAACGAGGTTTTAAAATTGCATGCATTTTCCTCCTAGTTTTATTATGGACTCATTTTTCAATCTTCCTATTTCGCTAAGACTAAAGGAGCCACGTGGTTCTATAACAACTACGGTCAGGCGAATTATGGCACAAAATCATCACCAAGAATTTACCTGCTGACACAGCACCGGTAATTGTCAAAATAAATTCTTCCTCTTTCATAGGCTATAGGTGACTTGGAATGGGTTGTCCAAACATTCTTAAATTTAGTACTCTCCTGAAAGATACAAAGAATTTCCGTTTAGGCCAGAACTCAGCCCCCTGCTGTGGAACCATTTTCAAGTGGGAAGTTTAAATCTACTGTTTCAAGTACAATGCTTTTTCTTCTTCCTCCCTCTGCCCACACGTGTTGGTTTAATTGGGACGCCCAACTTTTACATAGATTGTTTGCAGGATGGCAAAAGCTTTTTAAAAAACTAAAGCCACGAGATGGACCTATAAGTACCTATTTACTAACATCCTAGTTGAAGGACATCCCACTTATGACCCTCAAAGGAAATCCGAGCGCATAAAAAACTGCACCCCGGACGTAGGATGGACCCCAGGCACCCCGACGACGGCGGGCGTCACCTGGCACACCAGCGCCCGCAGGATGCCCAGGTTCGCCCTCTGCACCACGCCCGCATCGCGTGCGAAGAAGCCTAAAGCCCGGCGACTCAGCATACGGCAAACATTGGCCTTCGGGGTCGGGCCCATGGAGGCTCGGGGTCCGCAGGGCCGCGCCCCTCACTTCCGCGAGGGGAGGCAGTTGCCACCTGAGAGCCTCAAGGGAAAGCTGACGCGAGATCCCCGTCCTGGGCACTCGGGGACAGTGAGCAAGGGTTAGCACCACTCGTGTTCGCAGCAAAGGAAGATAAGCAACGGCGCCCGCAAGGCCTTTCCTTCAGCTCTCGGGCTCACCGCCGCACCTCGCGGCCCGCCGTAGCCACTCCCTCTTCCGCCATGGCCCTTTTTTACCCACCCACTTGGTTTCCAGAACGCAAACTACAATCCCCATCAGGCATAGCGAGGACTGGTCCGGCCCCCGCCTCTCTCCGCCCACAGTCCTCCTCTCCCGACCCTAATAGGCTGCGCGGTGGGTCGGGCCGGCTTCCGGGCTGCACGAGGCTATCGGGGAGACCTTTGGGGGCGCTGTGCGGCCGCCTCCTCGTGCGCCTCACTTCTAGTCCCGCACCCAGGGAGCAATCCCTTTCCGCCCTGGTGGCTGGAAGCCTGTTAGCCCTGCGAGGCTCTGGCCACGTGTCCGGAGGGCGTTGAGTCCAATGGGACCCTCCAAAGGTAAGCCCCGCGCCTTTCTCTCAGCCGCTCTTGGGACCTTGTGGATGAAGCTAACTTAAACATTTGGTTATATGAACACTTACGCTTTTGTCATGTAGTTAGTGGTGAAAGATGCTGGTTTCCCCCCTCCCCCCAAAGTAAGATTAAATTTCTCTTTCCCAGAGACCCTAGTGTGGCCAGCAGGGGCCCCAGCTGGTTTTGTGATAATTACTCTTTCCCTCCTCCTTGCTTCCAGTTTTTATCCCATATAGGGAATAAAATATGAAACGCTTGCATTCTTATTGGACTGCCTAAAATAATCCAGGTTGACTTCCCTAAGTAAAAATTAGCATTCTCTGTTAACCAGCTCTGCACACTAAAAGTTCCGTAACTGTATACCAGATGCCACCACTACCTCGCTGTGAACCCGTCTAGTGTGGTGTGTGCATCTCCCTCATAGACTTGGTATGCCACTCCTTGATCTTAGTAGTTGCTTAAAAAAAGAGTAAAGTCAGCTTTCTGATTGACAGCTGGATCGCGATATAAGCGCTCAGGGTTTTTTGTTTTGTTTTAAAAAGAAAGGAAGGAAGGAAGGAACGAACGGTCTTTTTACCTTTGATGCATTTTTTTTCCGGGGTCTAGCTTTTTTTTTATTTTTTTCCTGATGTTTCATGACTTGCTCATGGCATAGGGTGGAGTGCTTGGTGTATTTTTAGAAAGCCCTACAATAGTTAATTTGGTCCTTCATGAATGCAGCTGTCACTGAGAAAACTGGAACCCGGAAAAATATATCTGGATTTCCTCTGGCCGAAGCGAAATGCAAATCGTGGCTGAATTGCTCTCATCATCTATCTTCTCCCTGCAGCTCTTGTCTGTCAGCCCTCCCAGCCTTTGTATCTGTGCTTATCTTTCCTGAAGCTTTAAAGCACTGCTCTGGTAGAATATTACAACAAAAACGATAGCAAGCAGTGGATGTCACATCTGCACATAAAATGCCAACAATGAGTTAGTGATTCCATGGCTGGACCCAGATCACCCCCTCAGACGTGATGGGCATCACCCTCGTTTGCTGCTCCATTAAAGTGGCACTGCCGCTTTTGGTTTGGATCAAAGTCCCCTGGTTCTATCTAACAGATCCAACCGCTTGTCCTCTGGGAACTCTGGGAGCAGCTTGAGACTTCTGTTTCCAAGTGTCCTCCACCTGCCCTCTCACGGGGTGGTGCTTCAAGGCTTTTCAGATCTTTCTGAGTGGCATCAAGTTTGACCCCTAAATCATCCTAGTAAGTGGTTTCTTTCCCCCGTTTTGACAGCCGGTGAGCAGTTTTGACAGCCAGTGAGCAGGCTGGGGCTGTGGGGAGCAAGAAGGGACTGCATACGTGTGCACAGCTTGTGCAACCCTTCACTCTTCTTTTACCGCGCATGTTCTGAAGTGTTCCCTCCCTGTGGTTATCTTACCACCAAGCTCCCCAAGGAAAGTCTTTAGATTGTCTCTGCCTCCCCCACAACCAAGTCCTTTTTGATTCTATTCCTGTCCGGTCTTTTCATCTGAGTACTTCAGTGCCTTCCCACTTTTACCGTATTATTAATTAGCCTTCTGGTGGCTCTTTCCGCCTAGACTGGCGTCTCTTCGGTCCCAGCCTGCCACAGTTTCTGTCGAGTGACATTACTAATGTACAAGCTGTCACTCATCCTTGGCGGCTCCTCGTCCCCCGCTGCAGAGTGTTTCAAACCATGGTCCAACCCAGGATCTTCCATTGTTAGAGTAGTTTTAGCATGTTAAACATATGCAAATATAAAACTACCCGTAAAGCCCTATGTATCTTCTATGCAACTACAATAGCCTGGCATTGGTAACATTAGATTTTTTTAAAAATATTACTCTTGTTGAGAATAGATGACCACGCACGTCTTCTTCCTCCTTAATTGTAGTAATCGTCACTTGTGGGCTTCAGGAGTTTTTCCAGTGATGATAGCCCTTCAGGAAACCGACAGTTTTGTTACGTCTCTGCCTTTATCTTTCATTTCTATTTGCTGTCCTACTATGTTGACAGAGATTTGCAGTTGAGTTTCCACTCAGGTAACGATGCTGATATTCACTCTAGTGTTTATAGAGTAGCTACCACTGAGGATAACAGTGCTAGCACTAGGTCTTGATAGGATTCATGTTCTCTGCTAGTTAAACAGAAAAGGCAGGAAGAGGGCAACAGGTAACAGTGGGAAAATCTCAGAAACACAAACAGGAACAGTCGGAATCGGAAGTTGAAGAAAGATTTGTAATGCAGGTGAGGAAACACACAGCAGACACTCAGAGAAAAGCCACACCCTCACTCCCCACCTCCCCCGCCTCAGAAAGCAGAGAAATCCAGGCTCTTCTCAAGGGCTGGGGCTTTGAAGTCTCCAAAGGGTTTTCCTCCCCTGACTTTGGATTGGTGATTTGAAGAAGGACAGGATGGCTAGTGACTCACAGCACTGTGCAAACATGCCTTGATCTGCACAGATCTCCCCATCTGTCCGCCAACCAGGGGATCTATCTGCTCCTAGTCCCTTAGCATCGCAGGTTGCTGATGGCTCCTCTTTATCAGGTTAATAAAATTCTCTCCTGTTCCAATTGGCTAAAATCAACTAGACATTGAATTTTATCAGTGTTTTCTGTATATCTGCTGCTGTGATCTGTGATTTTCCCCCTCTATTTTGGTAATGTGGTGAAGTACGTAAATACACTTCAGAATGTTAGAGTAACTGAGCCCATTTAGATAAATGTGCTGACATATTTTGTTTTTGTTCATTGTGTGCTTTGGGTTGCTGCTGGCTCCAGTGCTCAGTCAGGTCTGGAATTTTGGTTTCTGGAAATATCTTTCTAGCTTGCTGGATCGGTGATGTATGCTGTTAACATAATATATATTTGTTTACCCATCATTTGGGGGTGCTGCATAGCAGAAAGTCTTCTGAGGTATCAAGTTCACCAGATTTCCAGGGCCAGATTCCATTTCATTTTTTTTTTAACCGTTAAAGCTTTAGTCAACATAGAATAGAATCTAAATGATCCCCAGCAACCCTTCAACACTGCACAAGGAATCCCAGAGTGTGTAGTGGAAAGAGCATCATAGCAAGAGTCAAGATCATGTTGTAGCCACTGCAGCAACAGCACCTACTAAGATCTTGGGCAAGCCACCTCCTCCCTTTGGGCTTATGCAGTCATCTGCTGAGTGGATATGTGTGTAGGGCTGAAGTGAGATACATATGCCTGCAGGTATTAGCATCACGTAAGGGAAAAGCCCGAGATGCATATATGGTACCCGGTGCATTCTCTGTTAGGAAGGATACAGCAGGAATGGAGAGGGTTTAATAAGATACTCTGAGGATTGCTTTTTTTTTTAGGGTGAGAGACTATTTTATATAAAACTATAATGATGGTATGTATACATTTGCTGAAACTGAGAGTTTGCAGTTCCAAGAGAAAGGAGGGGAAGGAGAGGAGAGGATGGGGAAAGGGGGAGGCAGCCAGGGGAGACATAGAACTTGCTTTTCCTATCCTAAGAGGAGAGACTGTAGGGGTTGTGGCCTGATTTGTGAGGCAGCAATTCCTGATCTAGCAGGTCAGACCTCTAGTTCAATGTAGATGCAAATGTGTACATATGTAGCACTTAGAGCCATAAATGGGAGTCTGGTTGGTTTGTTACAGGCATGCATTTGCTTGCTTTGTCAACCAAGGGGTACAGAAGCAAAGACAACCTAGTAGTAAAGAGCATACTCAGTGCCCAGACTCTAATGAAAAGGACAAGGACTCTTTGGAGAAATTGCTGGTTGTAGTGTTGGATCAAGAATAAACAAGATGATGGCTGGGCGGTGGTGGCGCACACTTTTAATCCCAGCACTCGGGAGGCAGAGGCAGGCGGATCTCTGTGAGTTCGAAGCCAGCCTGGCCTACAAAGTGAGTTCCAGGATAGGCTCCAAAGCTACACAACAAAACCCTGTCTCGAACGTCCCTCCCCCCTCAAAAAAAAGAATAAACAAGATGAGCTTACAACATCCTGTGGTGTCAGAAAGTATAAAGTGGTAAAAACAAAAGCATGACAGAGGCGTACCTACGGAATATATGTCTGTACACGTGAAGGCCGCATGTTGACTTGGCTTTGCTGTTCTGTCTTAGTCAGGGTTTTTAATACTGTGATAAAACACCATGACCATGAGAAACTTGGAGAGGAAAGGGGTTAATTCAGCTTACAACTCTCTGGTCATAATCTATTGCTGAGAGAAGTTAGGGCAGGAGCTGAAGGCAGGAGCTGAAGCAGAGGCTCTGGAGGGGGCGCTGTGTACTGGCTTGTTCCTCAGGACTTGATCAGCCTGCTTTGTTATAGCACCATGACCACCAACCCAGGGTAGCACCACCCACAGTGCCAGACTAGTGAGGGCATTTCCCCATCTGAGGTTCCCTCTTTCAAAATGGCTCTCGCTTTTGTCATTGACATAAAGCTCACCCCCATATCCTCTTATCACTCTCTATGCTGTGAGACAGGTTTCTCTCTGAATTTGACACTTGCTGTTTTGGCGAGGCTGGGTAGCCACCAAGTCCCAAGGTCCAGCTGTCTGCCCTCCATGCTCTGGGGCACAGGCATGCATACAGATGCACCCACATTTCAGGCAGGTGCTGGAGACTCAAGCCAGACCTCGTGCTTACATAGCTTTCTATTAAATACATTTTCAGCGGTCTGACTGAGATGATACATGGAAAAGATTTAGAGGACTCTGCGGTAATATATATTAACTCTGTTTATTATCACTACTCTGCACTTTAGTTTGGGGCAATTTTGTGGTTACAGCTGAATTTCACTGCATTGCACCTTTCCTACATATTGATTTGGGGGTTGGCATGCCAACAAAGCAGTATCCTTAAGGCTACATTCTTAAAGGAGAAAACATCAAGATTGTAAAAATTCAAGAGAAAAAAACAGAACTTGAGAATTCCTTTTTTTAAAAAATGTGTATGAGTGTTTTTCCTGCATGTATGTCTGTGCACCATG